CATAACAATATCACAGACATATAGATATATATACCATACATAACAATATCATAGAAATAGATATATATACCATCCATAACAATATCACAGACATAGATATATATATACCATACATAACAATATCACAGACATATATATATATATACCATACATAACAATATCACAGAGAGCCGGTTATAAAATAGCCTCATTATCTTTTACTTCCACTAGGTCGATATGACTACTTATTACATACTTACTAATAAATACGAGGTTTTTGTATATGCGATAAGACACAATTGCTATTACCCATATCAGCCCTCGCCGTATCACACCCCAAAACCCGTATCAGCCCCCGCCGTATCACACCCCAAAACCCGTATCAGGCCGTAAAACCCATATCACACCCCTTTTGGATTTTTTTTCGTTTTTCAATATTCCAAAAATAAAAATAAATGATAAGATAGCAGTTTTTATTAGTAAGTATGTAATAAACAGAATAAAACACGCCTTTTTCCATATCACACCCAGTATCAACCCTCGACCAATATCAGCCCTCGGGCCTTCGGCCCTTAGGCCGATATTGCAGTATCGGGTTGATACTGGGTATGATATAGAAAAAGGCATGTATTATTCTCTATTTATCACAGAGAGCCAGTTATAAAATAGCCATGCTATGTTTTCGTTCCACTAACTCGATATGACTACTTATCACAGAGAGCCAGTTATGAAATAGCCATGCTATCTTTACGTTCTACTAACTCGAGATGACTGCTTATCACAAAGAGCCAGTTATAAAATAGACATGCTATCTATTCTATCCACTAACTCGATATAACTACTTATCACAGAGATCCAGTTATAAAGATATATATATACCATACATAACAATATCACAGACATATAGATATATATACCATACATAACAATATCATAGACATTGATATATATATACCATACATAACAATATCATAGAAATAGATATATATATACCATCCATAACAATATCATAGAAATAGATATATATATACCATCCATAACAATATCACAGAGAGCCGGTTATAAAATAGCCACGCTATCTTTTCGTTCACTAACTCGATATGACTACTTCTCACAGAGAGCCAGTTATGAAATAGCCATGCTATATTTTCGTGCCACTAACTCGATATGACTACTTCTCACAGAGAGCCACTTATACAATAGCCATGCTATCTTTACGTTCTACTAACTCGATATGACTCCTTATCACAGAGAGCCTGTTATAAAATAGCTATGTTATCTTTTCGTTCCACTAACGCGATATGACTACTTATCCCAGAGAGCCAGTTATGAAATAGCCATGCTATGTTTTCGTTCCACTAACGCGATATGACTACTTAGCACAGAGAGCCAGTTATACAATAGCCATGCTATCTTTACGTTCTACTAACTCGAGATGACTGCTTATCACAAAGAGCCAGTTATAAAATAGCAATGCTATCTTTTCGTTCACTAACTCGATATGACTACTTATCACGCAGTTCTGTCGTTCTGGACTGTTGTCGTGTGCGTATGCCGGTTTGGAACATAGATGTATAGACATAGATATATATATACCATCCATAACAATATCATAGACATAGATATATATATACCATACATAACAATATCACAGAGAGCCGGTTATAAAATAGCCACGCTATCTTTTCGTTCACTAACTCGATATGACTACTTCTCACAGAGAGCCAGTTATACAATAGCCATGCTATCTTTTCGTTCCACTAACTCGATATGACTACTTATCACACAGTTCTGTCGTTCTGGTCTGTTGTCGTGTGCGTATGCTGGTTTGGAACATAGATGTACATTTCTTTCCTGTTTGTGAAACTTTACCTGTACAGTTATCGGAGGAAGACCATTTTGTCTTGCAATTTCGTGACTACCAGTTCATAACGACAATCTTATCTTGTCTGTATGTAACTCTAGGCAGGTCCCTGTCTTACAGCTTGTCGAACTCATCGTTCTCTTTGATATACTGACGTGGCGGCTTTTAACACTCAGACATGCCTTCCTATTTCTATATCTCGAAGTATCTTGCTTGATGTCGTGGAAAGCCACACTTCATTTCTGTTTCAGAAACTCCTCAAGGATATAAGATTATCAGAGAGAGCCAGTCTTTTATTTCAGTTGTTTCTATTCCAATGTACATAGCTCACCTTGCTACCCGGTTGCCATAGTGAGCTATGCTTGTCTCTCGTAGCACTAATGAAAATTGTGTCCTTATTATTATAGAAAACCTAGCTAGTTTGGTTTGCGAAATTAACTCACATTGTCGCCTGGTCTGGTTATTAAACATAACTAACCTTGTCTTCTCATGATAATATGACATCTTAGTATCATGTGATCGTACTGAACTAATCTGGCCTTTTTTTCTGACAACAACACACGTATATACAGCTTGATTTCCCCTACTATGACTGTATTTGTATCGGAGTGGTAAGGCACGACGTTGTTGTCAGATCAGGTGAGTGGCCCAATCAATAGACACTACCATTACACTCTGGAGACCTCCTCGCTTGTTTACAGCATCCATATTTTATTTAGGCACCTCGTAATGCCAACACGTCGCCGAGGTCAAGATTTCTATCTTTGGAATCTCTAATGACTTAATCTCTTTTTGGTGTTTTTTCCATGTTATAGTTACGCCTCAGTTCTTGTCTGTTAAGAGCGCCGTGTTGTCTCCCGCTGTCGGGCCGCTCTATAGGCCTGACATTACCGAAACTCTGTTACTATCACAGTAGCGCACACACAAATCGATGATATGGTAATAACTCATTCATTAATAAGGCCGCTCTGAAACTGATCTACATCAGATAATGGAATTCCATTCGGACCAACAACTGCATGACAGCGATGATGCACATATATGATAGAAGTCAAGCATCCATTTAGTGTTGTCCCATTCTTTCGAATAGTGCTCGCGAGCATTACTAGGCAGATACCTACATGGCCTAGGATGCAGACCTACTGTATGTATATAACACTATATTATATATATGTCTATAGTTCAGGCACTAACCTTAAAGTGACTTAAATGGTCGGCAGTGTTTGACATTTAGATAACATATATCATTGTTCATGATTTGAACACGGGCATACTTGCACGGTAGTTCTTCCATCGTCCAACACATCATAGCTATATGTTAAATCAGTCACTGAAAGGGATTAAACTTCATATTTTTAGGTTTCAAGGAATAATAAGAATTGAAGATGGCTGAATATCACATAGTGAAAAAAGATGACGATGACGATCCGGGTGAGCCACAGATTATCGTTGATCCGGGGACCTCGAAAGTATCTCGTTCAAACGGCAAGCATCCTGAAGGCGATGATGTGTTCGTTTTAATAGGAAATGAGGTTGGAGATGATGTAGCCGACCATGGCCATCCACAGGACAGCCAAATTCTGCTGGACATGGACGACCCTGCCATGAACAACCCGAAAACGAAATGCGAGTAAGTATAGCTTGGATTTAGTATACATCATTTATAACTTTACAAGTAACCGGATATGGGGTCAGTAGTATTTGCGAATGCTTACTTTTTGTAACTGCAAAGGTAGCCCGAGTTTCCTCTCGTCTTGTCACCAGACTTACACATTTTGACTGATAGATCCGAGTTTCCTCTGGCCTTGTCACCAGACTTACACATTTTGACAGCTGAATGTCTGGTGTGGGGGCCAGGGCGCACTTCTGTGCTACTATAAGAAAACGGGAAATTCTCCGACACCGTTTGATATTGGAGAGTTTTGAGGTGCAGACAACAACAATCTAACACATACCTCACATAAATTGATTAACAAAATATATTCAAATTTTCTCTTATTATCTCCAACAGCTACAATGTACTGAATTCCGTCAGGAGAGTCTACGGTTTTCATTCGTTCAAAATTTCTAAAGTGACTAATCAACAAACCGTACTGATCCGGACCCAAAACGTAAAAATATTATTCTTGTTTTAGGCGATTTCCGGACCTCCTCATTTTGTTGATTAGTCACTCCCATGATTAACAAAATGGCATTCGCCCAGGTGGGAAATTTTGAACGATTGCAAACCGAGGAATCTACTCACGGAATTTAATAGTTGTTGGCTATAATAAGGGCGGATTTGGATAAATAAATAATCCATTTATCGAAATCTGTGATGTATGTGATGTGTCATAGTAGATTTTTGTTGTCTGCACCACAAAACTCTCCGATACCAAACGTTTTCATATAGTAGTGCGATCTGGCCCCACACCAGACATAAAGTCTGGTGTCGGGGCCAGAGGAAACTCGGGCTACCGCAAAGGCAGATCGTCATCAGTTCAAACATTCACTAGTAGACACCAACAATGGAGACTAATGTTTAATCACAGTAGATCATTGGGATTGCTTGTACAAAAAGAGAAGTGATTAATGTGCCAGACGTATCTGCTAACAATGATTATATGACGTTATCTTACACATGGCATTATATGACGTTATCTTACACATGGCATTATATGACGTTATCTTTGCACGTGTCATTATATGACGTTATCTTACACATGGCATTATATGACGTTATCTTACACGTGGTATTATATGACGTTACCTTACACATTGCATTATATGACGTGATCTTACACGTGGCATTATATGACGTTATCTTACACATGGCATTATATGACGTTATCTTACACGTGGCATTATATGTGTTAGTATGTGTCAAACTACTGGCAGATCTATTTTTAATTTGATGTTAAGATAACTTTACCCAACAACGTTACATACGTTTATAATCAAGTTATTGAAGTTTTTCAAATCCTTTGTAATTGAACGTCAAAGAAGTATATAATGACATAGTACACTGTTAACATTGTATGCTCTTAAATTATCCGTAATAAGTCGGTCACTTAATTTTTACATATTTCAGTCGGATCCGTTTCCGGATAGGATCGGTAATGGAACATGTATACTTCCGGATCGGCACAATTCTTCTCATCCTGGTGGATATCGGCGTAGTAATTGCCGATTTACTCACTCCGGACACTGTCCACTACCACTTGGCCTTTGAGATCGTTTCCAGGACCATCATTAGCTACTTCGTCTTGGAGATAATTCTCAGGATGTTCTACAAAGGGTTCGTGATCTTTACATTCTGGTTTGTAACCATACCTTTATTTATATATTGCTATGTCGTCATCGGGACCTTCGGAATGTCCTTATAACGTTTCCTTTATCGTCATCGGGACCTTCGGAATGTCTTTATAACGTTTCCTCTATCGTCATCGGGACCTTCGGAATGTCCTTATAACGTTTCCTTTATTGTCATCGAGACCTTCGGTTTACTCTTATCAGGTTTTCCGCTACTAGCAAATTTTGTGATGATATTTCATTGCCGGGAACTTTCTCGTGATAAAAAAAAACCGGGAACTTGTCATTTATACACACTTCGTGTTATTCACATATCCAATAACTGATGGCTATCTATTTCGAGGAAGTTATCATATAAGGGAGAGCTCTCCAGTATACGGTTGAGCATCTCCGCCGAAGGAGAGTTCCAACTTGTACAGCATTGACTTGGAGTTACTTGCCCATGTACTTAAGCAATGAACTTTTGAATGCCTATTTGTAGTAGGAAAAGGAGAGACTCTCTACGTTTAAGTTAGGAATTGCTGTAAGGCAACACCACATTGACAGTTAGCCACAACTAAGTATTGTTATTTTACATATGAACATACCTCTACAGTGTAACCCACATCTAAGTCTCAGAAAAAAACTTCAACTTTGTTAAACAGTGGCATAGTTTCCACGGCCTCATGAGGTAGAAAGCATAGTGGTTACAGCAGAAATAGACCAACAAAAACCTACAGACCTACAATGATTACCATCCTACTAATTCAATATACAGGGATATATCTTAATGAATATTATACTCGCTACATTTACATTATTTGTGGTGCTGTCTACGACATAAAAACAATTGAACTTAGAACGACCTTGCTTTCTGTTGAGGTTACGCCGAAGTCATTGAGTCTGCGTTACCTAGCACCAGTGTTGCATTCTATGTATATGTTAGGCACGCGTCATTTTCTCTTCCCTAACGTTATATTTTACCTTACACACCATGATCATGATTCCTGTTAGAGTTATCTTCCTTACACATTATACCATGTAACTAGATTTTAGGGTTAAGGCTATATGCCACCTAACACATCATAGTTATTGTGTTATAGTGAGGGTTATACTGGTGGTTTGTGTAAGTGTTAAGGCTATATGCCACCTTACACATGATAGTTATTGTGTTAAAGTGAGGGTTATACTGGTGGTTTGTGTATAAGTGTTAAGGCTATATGCCACCTTACACATGATAGTTATTGTGTTACAGTGAGGGTTATACTGGTGGTTTGTGTAAGTGTTAAGGCTATATGCCATCTTACACATGATAGTTATTGTGTTATAGTTAGGGTTATACTGGTGGTTTGTGTAAGTGTTAAGGCTATATGCCACCTTACACATGATAGTTATTGTGTTATAGTGAGGGTTATACTGGTGGTTTGTGTAAGTGTTAAGGCTATATGCCACCTTACACATGATAGTTATTGTGTTATAGTTAGGGTTATACTGGTGGTTTGTGTAAGTGTTAAGGCTATATGCCACCTTACACATGATAGTTATTGTGTTATAGTAAGGGTTATACTGGTGGTTTGTGTAAGTGTTAAGGCTATATGCCACCTTACACATGATAGTTATTGTGTTATAGTGAGGGTTATACTGGTGGTTTGTGTAAGTGTTAAGGCTATATGCCACCTTACACATGATAGTTATTGTGTTATAGTTAGGGTTATACTGGTGGTTTGTGTAAGTGTTAAGGCTATATGCCACCTTACACATGATAGTTATTGTGTTATAGTAAGGGTTATACTGGTGGTTTGTGTAAGTGTTAAGGCTATATGCCACCTTACACATGATAGTTATTGTGTTATAGTGAGGGTTATACTGGTGGTTTGTGTAAGTGTTAAGGCTATATGCCACCTTACACATGATAGTTATTGTGTTATAGTTAGGGTTATACTGGTGGTTTGTGTAAGTGTTAAGGCTATATGCCACCTTACACATGATAGTTATTGTGTTATAGTAAGGGTTATACTGGTGGTTTGTGTAAGTGTTAAGGCTATATGCCACCTTACACATGATAGTTATTGTGTTATAGTGAGGGTTATACTGGTGGTTTGTGTAAGTGTTAAGGCTATATGCCACCTTACACATGATAGTTATTGTGTTATAGTGAGGGTTATACTGGTGGTTTGTGTAAGTGTTAAGGCTATATGCCACCTTACACATGATAGTTATTGTGTTATAGTGAGGGTTATACTGGTGGTTTGTGTAAGTGTTAAGGCTATATGCCACCTTACACATGATAGTTATTGTGTTATAGTTAGGGTTATACTGGTGGTTTGTGTAAGTGTTAAGGCTATATGCCACCTTACACATGATAGTTATTGTGTTATAGTAAGGGTTATACTGGTGGTTTGTGTAAGTGTTAAGGCTATATGCCACCTTACACATGATAGTTATTGTGTTATAGTGAGGGTTATACTGGTGGTTTGTGTAAGTGTTAAGGCTATATGCCACCTTACACATGATAGTTATTGTGTTATAGTGAGGGTTATACTGGTGGTTTGTGTAAGTGTTAAGGCTATATGCCACCTTACACATGATAGTTATTGTGTTATAGTGAGGGTTATACTGGTGGTTTGTGTAAGTGTTAAGGCTATATGCCACCTTACACATGATAGTTATTGTGTTATAGTAAGGGTTATACTGGTGGTTTGTGTAAGTGTTAAGGCTATATGCCACCTTACACATGATAGTTATTGTGTTATAGTGAGGGTTATACTGGTGGTTTGTGTAAGTGTTAAGGCTATATGCCACCTTACACATGATAGTTATTGTGTTATAGTGAGGGTTATACTGGTGGTTTGTGTAAGTGTTAAGGCTATATGCCACCTTACACATGATAGTTATTGTGTTATAGTGAGGGTTATACTGGTGGTTTGTGTAAGTGTTAAGGCTATATGCCACCTTACACATGATAGTTATTGTGTTTTAGTTAGGGTTATACTGGTGGTTTGTGTAAGTGTTAAGGCTATATGCCACCTTACACATGATAGTTATTGTGTTATAGTTAGGGTTATAATGGTGGTTTGAGTTAGTGTTAAGGCTTAATGCCACCTTACACATGATAGTTATTGTGTTATTGTTAGGGTTATACTGGTGGTTTGTGTAAGTGTTATGATGATATTCTTCGGTACACTTGGTGCTTATTATTTGCGTTAGAATAAAGGTACATGTTACCTAACAAATCATACTTGTTGTATGTGTTATAGTTAAGGTTATATGTTACCTTACATTATACCTGTGATTTGTGTCAGGGTTAAGGTTATATGCTACCTTACAAATCATACCGTTTATTTGTGTCAGGGTTAAGGTTATATGTTACCTTACATTATACCTGTGATTTGTGTCAGGGTTAAAGTTACATGTTACCTTACATTATACCTGTGATTTGTGTCAGGGTTAAGGTTATATTCTACCTTACAAATCTTACCGGTTATTTGTGTCAGGGTTAAGGTTATATGTTACCTTACATTATACCTGTGTTTTGTGTCAGGGTTAAGGTTATATGCTACCTGCGTAGTCAAGGGAAACAACTCTAACTTACTACTTGCTAGGTGGCATATACGCCACCTAGCGTCAGTTCTTTGCTTGACGCTGCACCCGTTGGTCAAGAATTATCAGCTCCGATGGCTTCGGATCTAGAGAGGGTAATTGAAAAGCTTTACAACATCGAATCATCTATTTGTGGCATAAATACTAGGATAGAAACTCTAGAAAACCAATCGGTCATTCAGAAAACTTGTGAAAGCGAGGATTATTCACGAAGTGGTTTTCTCTCAGGACCACGTGGATTACAAGATGGCGCGGCGGGCCAATTCAACACCGACCATGAGGTCCGAAGAACGGAGTCGCCCGGTCCCATCCCCCAAAATGGTGCTTCCGAGGACATACAAGGAGATTTCGCTACTATAAAGGACTCTGTTTCAAAGGTAAAACTGTCAGCTGATCTCCGCGTGAGTGACTCAAATCGAGGTACTTGCTCTTGATATTTTGGAAAAGGCTACGACGATCTCGGCCGCAAACACCCGTGGTCAATCGTATTCCGGACGGGGATCATACGGATACGGACGAAATTTAAACAGAGAGGTGGACGGTCAAGATTCTATCATCGTGGCGATTTCAATCATGTACAGCAGCGGTTAGTTGTAAACATTGTTCATGTTGTACAATGTTATAGGTACACGTGTACTTTTAGCTCAGATTGTAAACAAAAACATTGATAGATGTCATCACTGCAGAGTTGTGCTTTTAAATGGACACAGTTACTTCGCCCGTGTAACAAAGTAACTCAGTGGGTTTCCAAGGGCATTACAATACCATTTAGTGCTCCATAGTGTGTCTCTCCTATCGGATGTGTTAGTAAAAAAGGAGGAAAGCTCAGGCTTATTACAGACCTTTGATTGTTAAACTCTTGTAGTGTTACGCCTGAGTTTCGGTATGAAGATGTCAGGGTGTTACCCCAGGTAGTACGAAAAGGGGACAAACTTGTAACATTGGACTTGAAAGACGGATTTTTTCAGATTCCGGTTCATAAAAAATACAGGAAATATCGGGGGTTTTGCTGGAAAAAAACAATTTTATGTATGGAACGTAATACCCTTTGGGTTACAATCCAGCCCATATTACTTCTGTAAAATATTACGCCCAGTGATTGACCATTTCAGGACCCTGAATATTCGTCTTATAGCATATGTTGATGATATTTTAATTTGTGCAACAGTCTCGGACATACTCACACACCGGCGTGATATTGTACTTGATACACTCAAAACGCTTGGATTCCACATTAATCGCCACGACAAAGGCAGTATTACCCGGTAAACTAAAATTGCGCGAGGCATATAGACTTCTCCGCACTAAGACAAACTGGGATTATGTTCTTGTATGGTTAGAATCAGCGCGTAAAGATTTTGAGTGGTGGATCACGGCTCTCGAGGAATGGAACGGTTCGACGTTATTACCGACATCGATCGACGCTCAACTAGTGACGGACGCGTCAAAAGTTGGAGTGGGAGCTATCTCAATGGAAAAGAAGCTCAAGGATTTTGGGACAAACCGAATAGCACCAGATATTTGGGCGGAAGCAATAAACAACCACGTATCTATCAGTTGTTGTCACATAGCCAGAAAGGACAACACGGGAGCGGACTCTCTAAGTCGCCTAAACGACAAATACGAATGGAGACTACATCCCGCATTATTTCACTTATTGCACACACCATAGCCAGGTTTGCATCCGTGCTTACGACACAACTGGAAAACTTCAACAGCCGTTATTACAACCCACTGGCTTCAGAACTTTAACAGCCGTTATTACAACCCACTGGCGTCAGGGGTGGACGCATTAGTACAACAGGACTGGCAAAGTCACAACAACAATGTCAACCCACATTTTCGCCTAATTCCAGAGGTATTAAATGTGATACGAAACCAGAATGCGAATGCCACGATTATCGCCCTTGCATGGAAGGCACAGCCTTGGTACCAAAAACTTGTGGATGCGTCGATAAGCCAACCCTTTCGGATAAAAAACGTCCGGAATTCAGTGATAAGTACATGGGGCAATGCGGAACCAATACAAAACAGTCGATGGAAACTGTATGCTTGGCGAGTTTGTGGGAGCAGACTTTAAAGGATCAAGGCTGGTCAGAAAACAACGTGTCCGTTTATCAGTTCTATCTCGCCCCATCTACTATATCTCTATATGACAGGTACATTGATCAGTTCCACAAACGTTGTATTCTCGGGGGATGTACGTTTCCTCCTACACAATCGTATATGATTGCTGATTTTCTTCATGACATGGTACGTAATTCAGTAAGACCGAAATCAAAGTTAAATTGTGCTGTTGCGGCAATAAACGCGATGTATGACGCTATTGGTGTTTCTAGTCCAGAACGGTCGTCGTCCATATTCAAAATGACACAGGCTCTTGTGAGAGCTTATACTCAGGCCCCTATGAAAAAATCTACGGTAATGCCTGAGGACAAATTTACTGATTGTTTCAAACATGGGGATATAACTCTGAGTTGTGCATAAAGGATTTGCGTTTAAAAGCGATAACGTTACTCAGCTTGTCTGCTATGCTACGTCCTTCTGATATTGCACCCAGGACTAAGACAGTAGATGGCAGTGATGTGTTCTCTACGCGTCAACTCGAATTTAAGGACGATGGGTCCCTTCAAATCCAGTTTTTCGGGATACAAAATGACACAAAAAGGGATGGATTCGAAGTACAAGTTCAACCTCACTCGTGTACAAAGTTGGATCCAGTAGGAGCCTTAAGGGACTACATTGAGAAAACGGACAGTTTGCGAGATCCCCATGACTTAGGAGTTTACGGCAACCGTATAAAGCAATAGACTCCCCCACGGTAGCTAGCATTCTAAATGAAGCAATACAATTAGCTGGACTTGAGAACCTCGGTTATTCTGCCAAGTCGTTCCGTCCGCCTGGTGATACGTGTGCTATAGCGAAGGACTTTAATCCAAATGTTGTCAGAAAAATCGGTAGATGGAAAACAGAATCTGTTTTTTTCGACCACTAACACCAAAAGTGTTCACTGATAAGCTCATTTGCTAATTAAGTCAGTTAAACAGGACAGTATCATGTGACGGACACTATGTTGATTGTTTTACAGGGATTAATTAGTTGATCAATTTTGTATTTTTACGTGCATATTAACATGCAGTGTAATTATGTTACAATGTGTATTAAGTTCTTTTTAAGAGTCAAATGGTTTAATTATAGTCACGCAAGTTGACTTTAAATAGAGTTATAATGTTTCTATCATATTTCTCATTTCCTTTACATGTTTAAATCTCACTATAAGGCAATAGTTCATAAATAAAATGTTTTACAATTTATTTATTTGTTGTTGTTCCCCTAATTGACGTAGGCTTCGGTAAAGCGTAGTCAAGGGGAACAACTCTGTCCTACTACTTGCTAGGTGGCATATACGCCACCTAGCGTCAGTTCTTTGCTTGACGGTTTTGTAAATACATTTTAGGTTATTTGTAAATATGCATCCAATTGGTTGTTACTATGTATTGATATGTATGTGCAGCTCAAGTAGAGGGCAAAGGCAATAGTTCATAAATGAAATGTTTTACAATTTATTTATTTGTTGTTGTTCCCCTAATTGACGTAGGTTTAGGTCAATACAAATCATACCGGTTATGTGTGTCAGGGTTAAGTTTATATGCCATCTTACACATGATATATTTGTAATTTGTGTTAGAGTTAATGTTATATGTTACCTTACACATGCTTTTTGTAATTTGTGTCAGAGTTAAGGTTATATGCTATCTTACACACCATACATTTTATTTAAGTCAGAGTTAAGGTTATATGCTATCTTACACACCATACATTTTATTTGTGTCAGAGTTAAGGTTATATGCTATCTTACACACCATACATTTTATTTAAGTCAGAGTTAAGGTTATATGCTATCTTACACACCATACATTTTATTTAAGTCAGAGTTAAGGTTATATGCTATCTTACACACCATACATTTTATTTAAGTCAGAGTTAAGAATGTATAATGCATTATATATTTTGTATGTGATTTGTAAGAATTATCTCCATGAAAAAATGGATAATGAAAGCATACATTTATGTACATCTTTCAGAGTGTCTTCAATCAGAAAATTGATGGAAATTAACATACACAAACTGTTCACGTTTCTGCAGTGTGAAACTGTTTTGGAATCGAAATCAATGCCACAGTAAGGGATCGTATATCTGTAATAGAACTTTAATCTGTGATTTCAGCAACAAATTCTTCATGCACTGGGCCGACATGCTGGACATGCTGGTAGTGTTCGCTACATTTATCATCGATTTGGCCTTCAGCGACTACGCAAGGTCAGAACCACCATATACATCTTCCATTCGTGATAGAAATACCCATTAAAGATAAGCGCCACAATGACCAAACATCGAATAGCGTCCCAAGGTAGTTTCGTGTTCCAGTGATATCTCTCTGTCAATAAATTAGGCGTGGAAAGAAGTGGTAGAAATAAGAGAATCACACCCAAAACAATGTAAGTGATAGTATGTTTAACATATATTGAAGAATTACGAGAGATGGTCTTTGTTATCATTACTATAGACTACTTAACAAAACGTTAAAGGGGGTCCCAGAAAACTGTAGCACACAACCCTGTGTAAAGGGTCATTGTTAGATATGAACTCTCTGTAATAGGGATAAGGTTCAAATAATACCTTCCTACAGTCTACTTGTGCAAATAGTTCAAAGCAAAGTTGCTAGGGAGACAATTGGATTGATTCAATATCGATCTGGTGTTTATCAGAAAATTGGTTGTGGCCTTTTTGTCTGCTTGTCATGTATATTAGCTTACTATGTCGGATCACGGCTATTTGTTTGTAATACGCTAATATCTAACTACAGACTTGGAGTTGCCGGACGCTTTCTACGGATCATCCGGATAGCACGAGGTATCTACATTATGTCCTCAGAGTACAGACATTTTCAGCAGGCCACGCGTCGTATGGTGTCACAAAACAAACGACGCTACCGCAAGCAGGGATTCGACCTCGACCTTTGTTACATAACAGGTAAGTTGATATGGAGAGAAAGTCATCTCTGTCTCTTTTCAGTCTCAGTCTCAGTCTCAATCTCAGTCTCAATCTCAGTCTCAGTCTCAGCCTCTTCTCAGTCTCAGTCTCAGTCTCAATCTCAGTCTGTCTCAATCTCAGTCTCTTTTCAGTCTCAGTCTCAATCTCAATCTCAGTCTCAGTCTCAGTCTCAGTCTCAGTCTCTTCTCAGTCTCTTCATCAATCTCAGTCTCTTTTCAGTCTCAGTCTCAATCTCAATCTCAGTCTCATCCTCAGTCTCAATCTCAGTCTCAGTCTCAGTCTCTTCTCAGTCTCAGTCTCAGTCTCAATCTCAGTCTCAGTCTCAGTCTCAGTCTCAGTCTCTTCTCTTGTCTCAGTCTCTTCTCTTGTCTCAGTCTCAGTCTCAATCTCAGTCTCTTCTCAGTTTCAGTCTCAGTCTCAATCTCAGTCTCAGTCTCAGTCTCAATCTCAGTCTCAATCTCAGTCTCAGTATCAGTCTCAGTCTTTTCTCAGTCTCAGTCTCAATCTCAATCTCAGTCTCAGTCTCAGACTCAATCTCAGTCTCAGTCTCAATCTCAGTCTCAGTCTCAGTCTCAATCTCAATCTCAGTCTCAGTCTCAATCTCTTCTCAGTCTCAGTCTCAGTCTCAATCTCAGTCTCAGTCTCAGTCTCAATCTCAGTCTCAGTCTCAGTCTCAGTCTCAGTCACCGTCTCAATCTCAGTCTCTTCTCAGTCTCAATCTCAGTCTCAGTCGCAGTCTCTTCTCAGTCTCAATTCAATCTCAGTCTCAGTCTTTTCTCAGTCTCAGTCTCAGTCTCTGTCTCTTCTCAGTCTCAGTCTCAATCTCAATCTCAGTCTCAGTCTTTTCTCAGTCTCAGTCTCAATCTCAGTCTCAGTCTCAATCTCAGTCTCAATCTCAGTCTCAGTCTCAGTCTCA